ATTCGTACGTACTTGGGCAGGCTGCGTGAAAGAAGAAGAATAAAAAGGAAATATTATTTGAGTAAAAATTCACGTAACGAAAATCGTTATTAATTCATATAAATTATCGTACTTACATTTCAAGATCTAAACCCTTTTCATCGCAATCATCTTCGTGACGATCCAAGTACTTCGGTTGCATTTCCGTTTTGCAAAATCGGCATCTTCTTAAGGCAGGACCGTTGTAGTTTGTTCTGCATTTAATCAGATGTTGAATATACTTCGTCCTTTTTACTGTGTGGCTAACGTCGTAAGGACAAGTTAAATGGCTAGGATCCATCGTAGCTTTGTTGACGGTGGCTCCTGTATCGTCTTGATCTACTGCCTGTTTCTGTTGCCTCGGAGCGATTAACTTTTGACGTTGCTTCGGATAGATTCAGACGTTCGTACGGTTTTAGGTACACGTCGAGACGATCTCTTTTATATGCTTCGATCGAGAGACCATAAAGTTGACGTCATCATACCATCTCCAAAACCCTTGACGTCATCGTTACAGATCGGAGGCAAACTTAGGAACGCATGACGTGATTGGTCTGTTGAAAACATATGATAGGCCAATGACGACATCGGTCTGAGAAGCAATGATTACCATAATACGCACCTTGACGTCATCGGATGCACCCGACGCTGTATAAAACAGTCTTCCAAACACAAAACTCTCCACTTTGCGACGAAGTTAAATCAGTTACTTCGATGAAGATGGAGAAATTCGAACCTAAGAAACTGTTGGAGATAAGAACAGGCATGTCCGGTTTGCTGAAGACGTGCGGAGGCGGAGAGGCACCCCTTGCAGAGGCTGTGACGTTCATCGCAAACATCGATTCCAGAGACGTTCCGACGATCATGTTCTTCGACGGGCCGGATGGTCCTTTCGCCAAATGGTGCACGCCGTTCGTGGCCGACCAGTTTCTCGAAACCTGCCGTTCCAGCGGACGGCAAGGAATCACCTACACGGACGTTGTAATGAAGGCCGAGAACGACAAGTTGATGATGCCGATGGCTTTCCTGTGCGTCCATCCCGAGGAAGGTCCGATTCAGCTGGTGACGAAATGGGAACGGTATTTTCCGCCACTGCGATGCCGTTCGTCCTGATTAACAGCGACAGACATCCGAGCGAAAGAAGGAAAAGAAAGATGGTTTGCGGAGACTCCACTCTGTCCATGTTCGATCGCCCGCAACTCGCCGACATGCTAGGCGTCGATGCTCGGTCTCCTGGAAAAAGTCCCACAGTCAATAACGTTCACTCGAAAAGAACGACGAACAGTTTAGTTGGACAATTCCTAAACAAAATTCTCCGACAACTACAGGCGTCGACGAACATGCAGTCTCCCTTCGAAACTCATTCGCGGGAACAACCGCCGACGACGACTCCGACGGTCCATTCTGCCAACACGGGAGACTTCGAAAGGAAAAGTTTGGCGGTGTTACCGCCTCTACCGACACCCGTCGAAATCCATCCGCAGTAACAGCAGGAGCAGCAGCTGGAGGAGGAGGTGGTACGACCGTCACGGACACCCAAGGTAACGTGTCCGTAAACATGTGCAAAGACAACGTACTCTACGACAGATGATGGAAGAGATGGAGTAAGCGAAAGATCGAATGTATGGCCGCTAGTTTTAAAGAACTGAAATCGGAAGTCGTGAAACGACAACGAAATATGTCGACGGAATTGGAACAGACTAGATCGGAAACGGAGGCGATTTCTACGGATCTGGAACAGATGAGATCTGAAACGGCGGATATTTCGAGAGACTTGGAACAGATGAAATACGATACGGTGAAACAGAAACAAGATATTTCGACGGATTTGGAACGGATTCGATCGGAGATGGAGGAGCATAAACGACAGCTTTGAACGGATTTGCAACAGATGCGATTGGAAATGCGAGAGCAGACACGAAAGTTTGGGACAATGTTATTGGAATTTGGAAATCAGATGATTGCCGATAAAAAGATTTAATGAAAATTAAGTCAAGTTGTTTTGTTGACAATTAAAAAATAACATACATAAAAAAAGAATTTTAATATGTCGATTATTTTTTCTTTCGTTTCCTTTGTTTCGATACGACGGTGTTGATGATGACTGATGATGGGGGTGGAGAACACTCGCACACACCAACGGAAAACCTTAGGTAAAAAACAAAAAATATATATATAGAGGGTGGCAGACACGTTTTATCGAACATCGGAACATGGCTACAACTTCTTTCGTCCGAACGTATTCCAATATTCCACAAAAACCCGTCTGCCGCTCTATATCGAGTGTCCATGACGTCATCCATTCTCTCTACATAGCTTAACGTCATCGGGTGCGGCCAACACGTACAATATAAACTGACACGCACACGACGATTAACACAGTCTTTCCGAAGAGCTCACACGCACACATACGCACACAAAAATATAATTAAATATATGGAAGAGGTAAAATATAGAATTTTGTCGTATCTACCAATCCGAAAGCTGTTGGAGTTGAACCTAACCGAATACCAACTATGGTTAGTATATAGAGAGATTCATCCCGAAGTCAAGTGGGACTCGAAAGTGAGTTATAGTAATATAAATTTTTTAAGTTTGAAGATTTGTTGGATCGTAAGTTTAAAATGATACAAGACGTTGCAGCCGAGACTCGAGATTACGTATTGGAAGCTGTCGAGGATATGCGAGAAAAGATTTTCAATATCATGAAGGACAGTACCATAGAATGCAAGGATGCCGTCGTAAGATCAGATTGGGACGATACAAGGCGCCTTATAAACGGTGTCATCATAGGTGAAAAACTGTGTTGGTGAGCCTGTAAAACGGTTGAGAACGTTGAGGATGAATATTATCTACTATCGAGACCATCACCCAACCTAAAGACAAAGCTGCTGAAATTCATTAAAAACGTTACAAACTTGCGTTGTAAGACGGAAAGCGATTTATACGAGATTCTACGAAACAACTTCCATGAAATTTATTTTAATTCTGTCGTAGATCAGCACAGTCTTTTAGAAGAGCACTCACGCACACACTCGCACGCACACCAATGATGTCTGGAGAGCTCATGCCAAAGATCCGCGAGAAGTTTTCTCCATGGACTATAGGCGAGCGAAAGAGAGTGGATCGCCTAACAACAGCTGCCGTAATTTCCAGAGAGATCGCCAGGGAATTCATATCGTCGCCGGACACCGAATCGTCTCTCTCTTTCTATACGACGAAACAATGCGAGAGGTCGCCGAAAAGATGGACGTTCGGCTAGGACTCGAATTGGATGCCACCGCGGCGGTGATTGACTTCGAAGAAGACGGGTTACCGGGTGTGTTTTCGTGCCTCAACGACATGCTCGAAATCGGAGACGTCAACTGGGGTCGAATCGTCATTGTGTACATGTTCGGTAGGAAAGTGGCAAAGAGATGGGCGGAGAAAGATCTCGAGGACTACGAAGATTCCGTAGCCGAGTACGTCGGCGAATACGTGGCCACGGAATTGTCCGGTTGGATATCCGAACGTGGAGGATGGGTAAGTGTGATTCAGAGGGCGGCAAACACGTTTTCGAGAACGTCAGTTTTCACCGATCGTATCCCGATGTACGTACGAAAAATAATAATAATTTAATAATCATCATTTTTCTCTCCACTTCAGGATGACTTCGTGGAAATATTCGGCCGCAGACGTCGAAAGTCGCTCTCCGACCTCACCATTCCGATCCTGCTGGCGGTCATGTTGGCAACTCCGTTCGTTTTGTCTAACTGCAGATGACTCTAATCACGTTTTGATATCGAATAAAAAGCCGTGTTTATAACTGTACAAATGTTTAATAAAATCTGTTATTGAATATTAAATTGTAGTTGACATACCAAACAATGTGTCTTTCGTTTAAATCATTGCTTTGTGTATGTGTGCTTGTGTTGCGTGTGAGTGTGTGTGATAGAAAAAAAAGCAGATAATTTTTATTCGTACAATTATTTCCCCTCTCTTCTTGTTTATGTAAGGATGTGTAAAGAAACAACTAGACTCTCCGAGTTACAACAGCATCACGTTAGTTATAGTGGGTCGGAAACTGTAAATGAGTAAACAGACAAAAAATATACGTTTCTTTTCTTTTCTTTTAATCAAAAACTACCATAACTACAATCGTATGTGTTACAACAATTGCAAATATATAAAGTTATTCGGACGAGGTGTAATCGTGGTCGCCTTGAACGACCGTTCTCATTCTCTTTAACTCGGCGTCGTCTATCGTGCCGCAGCTCCTCTTATGCCCAGCAAAACCAACGGCGACGGAGTTGGGAAGGTCGTGTCCTTTGTTCAGAAGCATCACGTTGGGAACTGAGGCGAATTTTGCTTCAGTCATCAACCACTCGTTCATTGCCTTCAGCAGTAGAGTTTCCGCAGCAAACAGTTGTCCGTTCTCTCGAACGAAGCCGCAGTAGCAACGGACGTACGGGCGCACGTCCCTTTCACTTCTGACGAAAGTGACGGACAATTTCAAAGTTTCGTTGAATTGCCAAAGCACCTGCTTTTTTCGAAACGGCTCCAGCAGATCTTTCTCGTCCTTCACGGCAATCGCCATCGTGACGATCCTGTCGGCGTCCCTGTCGATGGACGGCATGTCGTCTCCTTTTGTGAAGAGTCTGACGGCGTATTCATCCAATTCCAACGAGGCATTCGACACGCCGTACATATTCAGAAGCGTGTGCGTGTCTTCGATGGTTCCTTGCCTGCCCACACACCTCACTCCATCCACCTTGGTCCAGACAAAGCATTCGTAGTGTCTCCCGCCTCCATTCACCGTAGCGGAGAACGCCACCTCGAGAGAGATCTGTTTCGTGTTACAGAATGCCACCGTCAGGATGCAACGTCGATTGGCGGCCAGCAGGTTTTCCAACAAGATGTTATCTTCGGTGAAAATCTTAACCATTCTGGCTACGATTCTTCTGTTCGTCTTCTCTGCCATGGCGTTGAGGTTCGCTGATTCCGAATGTATTGTTTCGTGATGATTCACGAGTATATATAGGGATTAGTCAGCAGACGTTTTCTAAGTACCCATGACGTCATCGTTACCGGCCTATCGATGCTTTCAAATAAGGGCGTACGGATGACGTCAAGGTTCCAAGTACCCTTGACGTCATCGTTATAGTTGGTTTATAAATAAGAGGCGGAACCGGTTCATCCATTAAAACTAAGCAATGGCCGGGCAAGACGAATCATCGTATCGCGGGATGTTGGTGAACGTCGATAGGTACCTCGAGGATCGAGACGTTGTGGCTCTGAAGTACTTATGCCTGGATGAGAGCATCGGTCTCAGACATGGCGAATTGGAAAAGGTTACCAGAGGCATTGAGTTAATGAATAAACTAGAGGATAGAGCATTACTTTATTCATCGAGATTGGAATTACTTATCGAGCTTCTGGGACTGATAAGGCGTTCGGAACTTCAACGCCATGTTTTGGACTTTCGAGGGAGCACGGAAGGACTCGGTGAAAAGATAATTTCACCGTATAGGTATGTAATTCTCTTTTTTTTAAATCGTTTATCTTTAGAGCAAAAATATTTTCTTTTCTCGCCAATGATTGCCGAGCTAATTTAATATTGTTTTTTCCCCCATAGGGCCATGATACTTGATTTTGCTTCTGGAATCAACGAAGAAGAGTTGAAATCGCTGAAACTGAGATTGAAATCAACCATACCCGCAAGAACTGTTGAACGACTAAAGGAAGCCATAAGATTGATGATTGAATTGGAAAAACTGACAGTGATCAGACCTCGACAGGTTGATTGTCTGTTTGAAATTGCTGAGTATTTAAAAAGGGACGATCTCGTTTTGAAATTAAATGATTATAATGCAGGAAAATACGATTAGTTCAACGCGATAGCTGTAATCATAATCCGTGTATTTTCGAATATCTTTTCGAAGAAATAAAGTTTTAGCTAGAAAAAATAGCAAATTAGACTATTGGTTGCTGTTCTTGTTAGCCTGATAGTGTTTGACTTATGTAACGACTGACGAAAGAGGAAGGGTTTGAAACAGGACTTTTATTTCAAAAAGGAGAAAATCGAAAATTAAATACACACACACGCAAAACATCTATTACAATCTGTTTTATGTTTATAAAAGCTTACTTCGGCCTTCCCATAAGCTCGTGACGTCAAGTGTCTAAGAACCGATGACGTACGATCACCGCACAACGAAAACGAAATAAAAGTCGAGTTAAACTGATTCCATCACACTCGTAGAGCTAACGACATGAACGAGACACTTGGCCGGACGACGACTGCGACAAAGAACACCGACGATGTATGTGTCGGCGGAGCCTCCTCCGAATCGGACAGGCTGCGAAAGAAAGAAGAGGAAATCGTTTCCCTGAAAACCGTCGTGCAGAGCATCGACGTGCTGAAGCTTTTGCTGAACGACTACGGAGGTTCGAAACTGGAACTCAAGAAGAAGAACTTAAGCATCGAGCACTTGCAATTCAGACTGCACAGAAACAAACTCGATTCGTCGGTCGATCTCAAAGAGCACGAAGTTTTCGTGCCCGGACACGACAAGGAGGTTCTCGACCAGCTGCTGAGGGAGAACGTGCGATTGCAAACCGTCCTGAACTCGAATTACAGTTCCGAGGAAGTGGCGGAAGCGAAGAAGACGATCGCCGCTCTCAGGATAAGGATCGCCGAACTTTCGTTCGAGGTCCGCACGAAAGATAAGGAGCTG